CCGGACCGCGCTCGTCGGTCGCCGCTGCGTGGGCGGCCAGGCCCTCGGTGTCCGCCATCCGTGAGTGGTTTCAGCAAGCAGGAGGGGTCTTTGACTCGTGAAAGCTTAGAGGGGCCCACACCTAGTGGGAAAGTAGGAATAAAGGGTTCTATACAGCAGTATTGGCGTGGGATTCTCTAAATAAACACATCTTTGATTTAGTGCCCAGTACTTGCCAGAAAATTCCAATAGTCTATGGTGATGTTCCTACAGGCGGCTGCCGTCCAGTGGCCCAGATGTCAGCACCGGCCTTGAGCTCTAGGTCATCGTTTTGTTTCTTAACTGTGGGAACAGGGCGTGCCCAGCTCCCAAGGCCTGGTGGAGTTTTCCTTCCCAGGCCAAGGACCACCCCAGCCCTCCCATTCCTCCTCCCGAAGCAATGGAATTCCTTTTGGCTTCAATTCTGAGTAACAAGTTATTTTTCCTTTCTTGTTTGGAACACACTAAGTTTTACATTCAAAAGTTCATTATTCTTGGCTCTTGATGGGAATACATTTCAAAACGCTTCCTGTGTTCCACGTCTCTCTGACCGCCTTAGTTGGCCTGAAACTGGTATGTTTGCCTTAATAAGTTTTATTTTTCCCCTTCTTATGTCATCTGGTCTAAGAAGTAAGTTACTTTAACATCTTGTTAGATAATTCCCTTCAAGTACTGAAATTCCCTTGAACATTGTCCTCCCAAGCCTCTGGAAATTTCTTGCCCGCTTGGAACTTCCGTGTATGGCCTGTTTGTTCTCAGCAATGGCTTCACGGGGACTTTTGCAGCCACTTCATGGCGTTAGCATGCTGGTTCGAAGCTACTTGAAGAATCACAGGTGCCACTGCAGTACCCAACAAAATAGCTTCATCATTTGGAGGTGTCCCCTCGAGGTGTTTCTGTGTGTATATGTGTGTGTGTGTGTTAGAAACAGGGCCTCACTGTGTCCCCCAGGCGTGTTTATAGTGGCATGATTATAGCTCACTGTAACCTCAAATTCCTGGGCTCAACTGATCCTCCCACCTCAGCCTCCTGAGTAGCTGGGATTACAGGCCTGCACCACCACACCTAGCTGATTTATACAATTTTTGTAGAGATAGAGTCTCACTATGTTGTCCAGGCTGGTCTCAAACTCCTGGCCTCAAGATATCCTTCTGCCTCCACTTCCCAAAGTGCTGATCTTACAGAGGTGAGCCACTTTGACCAGTAGTTTTGTGTTTTGTTTTTTTTTCCAGACGGAGTCTAGCTCTGTCACCCAGGCTGGAGTGCAGTGGCACAATCTCGGCTCACTGCAGCCTCTACCTCCCGGGTTCAAGCGATTCTGCTGCCTCAGCCTCCCAAGTAGCTGGGATTATAGGCACCCACCACCACGCCCACATGAGTTTTGTATTTTTAGTAGAGACGGGGTTTCACTGTGTTGGCCAGGCTGGTCTGGAATTCCTGACCTCATGATCCGCCCACCTCGGCCCCCCAAAGTGCCAGGATTACAGGTGCGAGCCACTATGCCCGGCCTCACTTTGACCAGTCTTTTTGTTTGTTATCTTTGAATTCAGAGATGGGTTTATGTTGCTTGAGTCAGTTGGCAGCCTGCTGTTTGGTTCCAAACCGGCATTTTCTTCCTGAAACAGCTGCTGTAAGCAGTTAGATTTCCAGGCTAGCACAAAATCCTGTTTGATTCATAAATGCTCATAGTGAGGGTGTCCCAGAAAGTTGGCCAAGTCAAGAGCAGTTCTTGTGGAGTGGAGGCGGTGAGCAAATAGGGGGAAAGTGGCGCTTGTGATGAAAACAGAAAACAATAGTTCATTGTATTGAGCTTCCCACTTGAGGAAATGTAGGTCTCACTTGGAGAATTAAGAGGCAGGTGGATGTTTGTGGGAGTTGACGGCCCTGCATCTGGATTACCTCCAGTCTGCAGGTGTGTTAGGATAACAGCAAGAGGGATCGTTGAGCACACAAGCCCAGCACCTGCAGGGAGGCCGTGTCCTGGCAGGAAGGTGCAGGGCCTTCTCCAGCAGCTCCACTTTCTAGTCCGTATATACCTGTTGACAGTCACCGCCCGGCTTCAACCGTTCTGGAGAAGTGGGTGTCAGTAATGCTTTAGCTCGTAACCCCAGGATTTCATTTCTACTCTCTGTGCTGGTGGCTTATCATTTGCAGTCTTTCCTGGCCCACAGTTGGAAAGGTTCAGGCATGGGAATGGGGAAGTGAATAAAATGTGTGTTCTTCAGACAGATGGTGAGAAGTGTTCAGAGAAAAGGCGAAATAGAGCCAGGTGGGATGTGAGGATGCCACGCAAACTTTGTGCAACTGGAGAGGTGGGGTGGTGCCTGGCCTCACCATTCAGAACTGCACAGACCCCTGTTTTCTTCATCTCCTAAGTGGGTGGAGGCACATCTAAAGAAAGCCCCCTTCAGACCTGTAATCTGCTTAGGTTTAATGAGGTCACAGGGTCAAGCCCTGTGGTCACATGGCTGTAGCACTTTCCAGAAAGTCTTTCTCAATTTATATACTGCCAGTGTGCATGCCAGCACTGGGCATTATTTACTGGGGGGAGATGAGATGGATAATTTAGTGGGCAGTAAGTTTTTTCCAACTCAGGGTTAACTGAGGTTGAGTGTTTCCGCATTTCTGTTACTAAATAAATTTTCCTTTTTCATTTAGTGTTTCAACAAATATTGATTGAGTTCTTACATGGGAACGAACTCATGTATATTATGTTTGTATTTGTGTGTGTGTGACTTTTGTTCATGTTCTTTGCACATTTATTTGTTGGCATCTTAATGTTTTCCTTGCCACTTTGTATAAGTTCGTTATGAATATTTTCTTA